GGCTCATCGCTGCCCAGCAGGCTCAGGAAGAAAGGAGGGAGCTACCTGACCCTCCCTCACTACCACAAGTTGAGCCACCACCCCTACAACGAGAGGATCTTGAGCCACCCCAGTACGACTCTACTCCTCCATTGTACGATCCAACACCATCACAGTATGACCCGGAGCCCCAACTGCATCACCCGGCACCACCACAGTATAGCTTGGTGCCCCAACCGCATTACCCGGCACCACTATAGTGCAATCCGTTGCCTCCATCGTATCATCCAGCACCACCACAGAGCCATCTGGTCCATCTCTAGCACAATCAGTCCCTCTTCCATAGGACCCAATTCCTCCCATGATGGACTCACGCTACATTGAGAGGTATAAAAAACTAAAACTATCTACTTTTATAGAAAGTTCCTCCTTTGAAGAGACCGAGTACTAGTTAGCTGAGACAGAAAAGACTTTCACGACTCTTGAGGTAATTTCCTAACAGAGAGTCATACTTGCCACTAACATACTGGTGGGAGAGGCAGACTGCTGGTGGCAACTCAAGCAGGCCACCCTGCCCATTCCAGTTATTTGAGAATAATTCTTGATGGCCTTCAACGTTGAATACCTCCCAGTGCATCTCCGACATATGAAGAAAATGAAGTTTGCACACCTGGTCCAAGGTGACGTGACTGTATCAGAATATGCCCGAAAGTTCCTAAAGTTGGGTCGGTATTCCCCTAAAAGAATGATGGATGAAGGCAAAAAGGCAAAAAAGTTCGATTGGGGTTTCTGTCCTGATATTATACAGCAGTTGTATGTATTCGAACTCAGTACTTACCCGGCCGTTCTAGCCAAAACACAGCTAATAGAAAGGAACCTTCACATTTTTCCTCCAGCAGTGAAGGATCTCAGGCCCTCGGTTTCACACCGCATACCAGCACCTACTGTACATGTTCAAAAGAACGAAAGATCTAGGCGAATGACTCAGGTCCTCCTCAAATTCCAACAACAGGACGCGGTAGGACTTACCAATATTGTAGCACTGTAGTAATGATCATGAAGACTGACCCTACTATCGCCTCAACAATACTTGTCGTATATGTGAGAGTACCCAATATTATGCGAGAGAGTGCCCAAGAAATCAAAACTAAGTCAAACCTCTTATCTAGGGCAAGACTTATAACCTTACTCAGCAAGATGCAGAAGCCAACCTAGACGTGATATAGGGTATGTACACTATTTATAATCATCTTACACATGTTTTGATTGATATTGGTGCCTCACATTCATTTGTTTCACATGCTTTTACAACAAACTTGAATGTATTACTGGAAAGACTTGAATCTGTGTTATTTGTGTCTACTCCTAGGTATATGGCACTACTGAGGGAGGTTATATACAAAACCTATGTCATAGATATCTCATATAGGAAATTGAGTGTGAATCTAATAGAGATTGACACGGGAGAATTTAATGTAATTCTAGGAATGAACTGGCTAGTGGCGTATCACGCTACCCTAGATTGTTTTCATAAAAAACTTGTATTCAACCCTCCTAATGAAGAGTTATTTACAAATTAATAAAATTCTTTAAATATTATTCCCTCATGGCAATTTTTCATATCATTAAGTGCTTTAACTTGACTATTTTCTCTAACTAAGCAAACTTAAGAAAGAAATTTGTATTCAAGAGATTTTGGTAGTCCGAGACTTTCCAGATGTGTTCTCGGACGAACTACCCCGACTGTTAGTAGACAGAGAAGTTGAATTTACCATAGATCTTAAGCCAAGCACCCAGCTTATTTCGGTTGTCCCTTACCACATGAGTCATGTTGAGATGGAAGAGTCGATGAAACAGATCAATGAATTGCAGGATAATGGACTCATCCGACATAGTGTATCCCCTTGTGGTACCGAAGTACATTTACAAGGAAGGGGGATGAGACATTAAGGTTATGCATTGATTACAGAGGACTGGATAAGGTCACGATCAAGAACAAGTACCCCCTCCCAGAATCGATGACCTTTTTGATCAGTTGCAGGGTGCTCAAGTCTTCTCCAAAATATACTTGCATTCAGGTTACCATCAGGTAAAGATCAAGACAGAAGACATTCCTAAAACAGCTTTTCGAACCAGGTACAAATACTATGAGTTCCTGATCATGCCATTTGGACTAACCAACGCACCAATCATCTTCATGGATTTGATGAACAGGGTTTTCAGAATATTCCTGTATCAATTCGTCATTGTGGTTTATTCAAAAAATAGAGAGGAACATGTTTACCATCTGACTCACGTTTTACAGGTTCTCAGAGAAAAGAAATTGTATGCAAAGCTGAGTAAATGTGAGTTATGACTCGAGCAGATTACCTTCCTTTGACACATCATATCAAGGGATAAAGTATCAGTGAACTCCGAAAAAATTGAGACAGTGCTTGACTGAAAAAAATTAACCTCGGTCAAGAAGATTCATATCTTTTTGGGGATGACAGGTTATTACCACATATTTGTAGAAGGATTTTATAATATAGTTGCTCCTTTGACTCGGCTCAAAAAGAATAACGTCAAGTTTGAGTAGAACGAGACTGTGAAAGCAGTTTTTCAAAACTAAAGAAGCGGTTGACTACTGCACCTGTTTTGGCCTTGCTGAGTGAGACAGGTGGATATATAGTTTATAGTGATGCCTCCTACTTAGGGTTGGGTTGGGTTCTGATGCAGTATGAAAAAATCATAGCCTATGGGTCCAAACAGTTGAAGAGTCATGAGAAAAACTACTCCACCCATGACTTAAAACTTGTTGCGATTATCCACGCCTTGAAGACTTGGCATCGTTACTTGTATGGGGAGACCTTTTAAATTTATACCGACCATAAGAGCTTGAAACACATATTCACTCAAAAAGATCTCAACATGCATTATAGAAAATGGATGAAACTGCTCAAGGACTACGATTACAACATTTTGTATCACCCGAATGAGGGCTACGTGGTAGCCGACGCACTCAGCAGAAAAATCGCAGGTATATTAGCTCACCTAATGATTTCAGAATGCAGGGCAATAGGGGTCGCACAAAAGGTACAACTTCAGGACCTAAAGAGGGTTATATACTTGGCCCACTTGATTGTTCAGCTTGAATTGATCTAAAGAATAAATGAAGCTCAATCCGTCGATTTCACCCTATCAGCCCTCAAGAAAGATGTAAAACGTGGAGTAAATTCAAAATTTCGAGTCTCTACCGACGGGTTGCTTAGATTTCAAGATAGGGTGTGTATTCCATGTGATAGTGAGCTGAAAAAGAACATCATTACTGAGATCCATAGCTCAAAGTTTGTCATACATCCCGGAAGCATTAAGATGTATCAAAGTATGCAAGCCCGATTTTGGTAGAACGGGATAAAAAAAGATGTAACCGACTTTATTTCCAAGTGTTTGGTATGTCAGCAAGTTAAGAGAGAACATCAACGCTCAAGCGGGTTACTTCAGGCATTACCAATTTCGGAGTAGAAATGGAAAAATATTACAATGGATTTCGTGACAAGATTTCCCATGGCACGCTCAGGACATGATGCCATTTGGGTAATTGTTGACCGACTCACCAAGTCTTCCCACTTCTTAACCATCAAGATAACCGACCCTTTATACAAGATAACAAGAATGTATATCCGAGAGATAGTCAGGTTACATAGGGTGCTAGTGACAGTAGTGTCTGATAGGGACCCTAGGTTCATTTCTCGGTTCTAGTATAGTTTTCAGCAAGTTATGAGAACGAAACTATCCCTTAGTACCGCATTCCACTCTCAGACTGATTGACAATCAGAAAGAACAATTCGCACACTGGAGGATATGCTCCGATCTTATGTTTTTGACTTTCGGGGGCCATTGGGATGATCATTTACCTCTAATAGAGTTCGCCTACAATAATAGCTACAAAGCAAGTATCGGCATGGTTCTGTACGAGACGTTATATAGCCGCCCATGCAGATCACCGATCTGTTGGGAAGAAGTGGGTGATAAAAAATTGTTCAGTCCAGATCTTGTAAAGAAGACTACAACCAAAATAATTAATATCAGGAAAAATATCCAGACGGCTCATAGCAAATAGAAGAGTTATGTGGATACCAGAATGAAGGATTTGAAATTTGAGAAATGTGATTGGGTGTTTCTTAAGGTCACTCATTTTAAGAGAATCAGTAAGTTTGGCAAGAGGAAAAAATTAAATCCCCAGTTTATTAGGCAATTTGAAATATTAAATAGAATTAATACCGCCGCTCACAAACTGGCACTACCTCCAAAACTATTCAGGATCCATAACGTGTTTTATGTGTCCATGCTATGCAAGTACAACCCGGACTCCTCTCGCGTCTTGGTACATGAGCCCCTTTCATTTTAAGAGGATCTGTCCTACGAGAAGGTACTGGTGGGTATTGTGAAGCGAAAGAGTTGAGTACTCCGCAATCAGAAAATTCCATTCGTTAAGGTCTTATGGCAAAATTACACATACATAGAGGCCACATGGGAGCTAGAATCAGATTTCAGATTCCACTATCCCCAATTGTTTGATTGAGTGAGAGAGAGACAAATTTGAAAGACTGGATTTTTTTTGCTCACTTTTTTTGCTATGGGAAGATGATTTCAAATGGAGACGATCGATTGATATGTGTGATTTTCCGGAAGCGGAAGAGAAGCAAATTATGAAGGGAAGATGATGATTTCAGAAGGAGAAATTGCTTTAAAGAAGAGAAGGGAAAACGATTTCAGATGGAGACGAGAAGAAGAAAAATAGATTGTGAAGAAAAGAAACAGGTCAAGTTACTGCGTGAAGGAAGGAAAATTTGGAAAGAAATGATAGTTTTTTAAGGTTAAAACGAGAATTAATAAAATTTAATGAAGATATAATCAGAACAAAAATATGAGCATATCAAAAACTACCGATTTGGTGGTTTTAAAAATTCGCCCAAAATTTGTCTTTTGGATACCATGAAACACCCTCAAATAACTATATTATCATAAAACAAACAAAATTTTACTATCCCAACACTATACTTTACATTAATTAACAACGAAATAATACCATCCAAACAGAGAGTAAATAGAAATTCCAATCTCAAGAACAATTTATTATGCCAGTTAAGTTGAAATAGAACACAGGCGACAAAAATATGCACATTAGAACCCTAACAACTTGTAGCCGATGAGGGTGATGCCACTTGTGTATGATTCTCTTTTAACCACGAGCCATGCTCCTTGAAATAGTTTCTCAAATGGACGTTAGATTCCTTGCAGCTTCTTCATTCCTTTTCCTGTCATTGTTTTTCACTGTCATAACTCTCTGTTTCGTCTGTGTCCTCCTCTTCCAGAGGCAATTTCCTGGTAGTATCCTGTTTAGAAAGCTGATCTCGTAGCTCTCTGAGTTTTGCTTTCTTCGAGTTCAAAACATGGAGAAACTAGGGGCAGAAAAAAGACAATAAAGTTATCATTGGAGGTGAAGATAAGTCTCTCTCCAACTGAGCAGCCTATATCTTACAACGATCTAAACACCAAAATGATGCAAGTGTAGCACAAAAAAATGAGCGATATTGCCCGAATAAAACTGCCACAAAACCTTTTCCATTATAGCAAGACCATAGGATTGATTAACACTAAGTTCAGATAAATATAAGTAAAATCTGAGGGAAAATGAAATGAATATAGGAGCTTTGGAAGGAAGGAACTGCAACCTTGCCTCTGAGGCATGGTGCCTCCATAATCCTCCAACTTTATATTAAGTGAACCAGAAACTCAGAATGCTTAAAAATGAAATAATAATTAATTTTTTTTAAAAAAACTGTTTCTCTGATACCATGGAGATAAAATGCTATGAAGGAAAAATGTTCAAATTTTCGGATAACCAAATTCTACGAGAATAAAGAAAAGTCTTGTTGTGATGTTCTATTAGGTTTAGGATAGGAATGTCTACAATATTCCCCAAAAAAAGAAGGATAGGAATGTCTAAAATAGTGCATTGGTTAGGCGGTGTGAATTGCTGCCTATTTCTATTCACATATTTCAAAAAATGTGTTGAGGATTACAAATGTTGCAATCATATGTAAATCAGCAATAACAAATATGAAAGAAAATAATATACCTTTGCATAAATTGCAGACTCAAATTCTGATTTCTCATTGCTGAACTTTTCACTCTGTGCTAAGCATTTCTCAGCTTCCACTTTTAATCTCTCATTTGATTGAATCTTTCTAACAACTTCTTCCTATGCAGACAAGGGAAAATATTGTCGAATACAAGTATAGAAATAGACTATTAATTATAAGCATGAGATTTGTGAGTGATACGATTGCGAGGATGTGTCAGTAATAGAGACTAAGTGAAGAGCAGATGATATATGTCCACAAAAAATAAAAAAAAAGGAAAAAAGAAAACTCGTCAAACCAGAGGAAGATATGAAACAAATACTTTTAAACAATTCTTGAAAGAAGAGGGAAATCATATTTATTGTCTTCTATCAAAATAAAATAAGATCCAGCTTTTCTTGAGAGGGATATATCTGATAATTTAACCACTTAAGCTTCTCAGAGATATTAATAACAATACCGCTCAGATTAAAAAGAAAAGAATGGATTATATTAAATTCCCAAGTGTTTGACCATAAAATGCTCAGTAGTAACGTTAACCATACTTAGGTAACACATAGCATATTTGCTAATCATACCTAATTAATAGCCAAGCAATGTGCACTACTGTGTATTTTGGCTGATCAGAACTCCACTTCCTAGAAGCACTAGGATCTGAAGCTTGGATCACTTTCATAGATATTATATTAGAAGATCCCTCCAGCAGAATATTAAAGTTAAATTTGACTAGACTGGTGGTTGAAAATCATGAGTTGAATGCTCAGTAACTAATTTCGTAGATCCTACAAGTTACTTGATTCATGGAAGACGCGATTCTAATATGTTGCAGCATTTCTAAGAATAGTTGCAGCGCAGGTAATTCACTTGAAGAAATTGCATAAAGTTTATACAAGAGTCACATAAATAATAAGTGATTGATAAAGTGAGAAACTTCAAAATCAAATAAAAACATTAAGTGACAAGTAAATGTCATGCGGGTAAGCTTGACAGGCATTTCCCATAGAAGCAAGATGACATAGAATCTTACACTCAGTCTCATGTTTGCATCCATAAGAAAATCCAAAATCTCTGATGTTATCTTCCTGCTATCAGGTGATGGCTTACATTTCCATCGCCATTCAAGTTTGGTCCCTTCCTTCTCAAAAGTCCACGAGAGCTGCAAAAACATAATAGCAGATGACGGCATGAATTCTGCTCCCCAGTTTTTACTTCTTAATTCAATTTTCTAAAAGATTAGGTTTCTTATCCAACTCTATTGTTGTCCTACTCTAGATTAGCAAACAATAACATTTCAAAACCAAAAGAGAAAAACAAAAAGTATTAACTCTTTTATTGCCATCACCAGCATCAGAAAATCTGTAAACCGAACCAGGCTGTTGAAATCCTAAGTACCGCTCCGCCAATTCTATATATTCAGCCACTGGTTGGTCCCACTGCAAGGCTCGTTCTCTCACCTCCTCTTCACTCGCTGCGATCGAGAAGTAAAATAAGAATGATTCCGCGAAGAATTTAAAACTTCAACAATTTTGATATAAAAAAATACGAATGATGAGTTCGGAGGTTCAGGCACCGTCACATAGCCAAGCATGACGGCCGTCAGTGATGGAGAGGTGGAAGCTAGAGGCGAGCCACGTGCCTTTGACGAAGATGGGGTCGTTATCGGGGATTTCTAGCTTAAGGCATGTATGTCTCGTTGCTTCTACGTCCATTACTTGAGTGTAAGTTTCTTCCAAGAGAAGTTGCTAGTGCTAAAAGGTGTTTTCACAACCAGGTGGTACAGAGAAAATGTGAAAAATAAATCGAAATTAGGGAATCTTCACTGGTTCTATTATAAGCAGAACCGAATGATACCGTTCAAGGCGACTTTTCAATATTGCTTCTCTACTTGCTTGCCGCCCCTTTCTCTTTTTTCTACTCTAATCACTCCCTTTTTTTTCCCTTTCTTCCTTTCTGCTTTTATGATCTCCTTCCTCTTCTCTCCCGACTTTCTGCTCAGACCATACTCCTAAGCGCCTCTTTTTCTTTAAAAGTTCTCTCTGCCCTACTCTTCCGCTCTCACACTTGTGACCTTCTGAAGACGTGTTTAGTCAACCGCCAGAAAGAAACCTTCATGAGAGCCCAAAGGGCGTCGTTTGACCGGAGGAGATAAATGCTGGGGTGGGCTTTTATATGGGCCGAAAAGGGTTTTGTGGGGGTCAAAATGGGATTTAGATTAGTAGACAGGAATGATTTTTTTTTGAAATCTTTTTTTGATAGTACGAAAACTAATTATTATAATTATATTAATAATAACAGCAAGAATAATACTAAATTATAATAACTTAATCTAAATTTATTCAAAGTCAAAACGAAATTAGTTCAAAAAATTTTATGGTATTAATATATTTAATATTAGAGAGAGATTTTTGTTAGTATTTTCTTGAAATTTTTGGGTTCTGAAGAGGTCCACCCCCATCTGATTTTTTATTCAATTTTTTAGCAGTATACACCCAAACAAGCTACCAAATTCAAGAAAGAAACCGAATGATTTGCAGAAATTATTCAAGCAAAACCAAATTTGCCAATTTTGGTTACACGTGGTAAATATTATAATTTTCAAAATATAAAGTAGAGGAAATTGGGCAAGAAGAAAGTATAATACTTAAAATTTGAAATTAGAATATTAATTTCATTCAAATTTGTATGTTATTTAAATTGTATTTTCATTTTTACTTTATAAATTTGAAATTTGAATTAAAAATCAATCAAACAAGAAATTTGCAATTCAAAACATAATTTTAATTAAAAATGTTATATATAAAAATTTATTATTTTAGAAAGACTCTGTTGTTTTCAATTAAATTAATTGAAGATTTATAAATATATATATATTTTTTTTATAGGTTTATTACTGTGGGTAATCTTTACTACGTGGTGGAAACGAAGAGCTTGCTGGGAATTGGCTACTGATAAAGGTAATCCACAGTAGTGCTAATTGGCGTCTATCACTCTCTCCAAACTCAAATCGCTCGTATCACGCCATCATGTCCCTCAGATCCTCTCATTTTCGCTCCATAATTCTTCCAACTGTCTTCTTCATCGGCCTTCTTTCTTCCTCAGCTCAACAAAATGAAGACCCAACTATTACAACAATGGAGGCCTTCTCCGGTTACCCACTTCATGAACCAAATGAATCACCTACCTTACACCTCGCTTCTTCCTTATCACTTGATGCTCAAGCCCTACAAGAGCAGGTAGTTTTACATATCAGGGAATATCTCATATGTAGTCTGTCATCGGAACTCAATATTTCACACTCTAGTTGTATTTACTCGTTAATCTCTTATGTTGATGTTGTGAAATTTTTCATGTTAGATTGACGAGCTCTCTACTTTCTCCGATTCTACTGCCCCTTCGGTTACCAGGATTCTCTACTCAGAGAAGGATGTTTTGGCGCGCAGGTAATCGGTGACATAATAGTATTCTGTAGTAGTGCTGCTGTTGCTGACAATGTATTTATAATTAGGGGAAATTAGATGTCTAAAATTGATACTGCGTTTAACTTAAAAAAATGTGCCTTTTTATTTTTAATGAAAACGTTTTCTTCTTCTCATTTTCTGAATTCGTATATGCTTATAGTTATCACTTCCTAATTCATATATGCTTATAGTTACGAATAAAAAATTGTATGATATTTTCAAATGAATGTAATATACTTCAAAATATTTTTCTTGCTAACAGAGGAGCCTATGTGTAAATTCAATTGCACATGCTAATGATCCTTAAGTTATATAATTTTCAGGTATAAAACAATCATTTTTGTTTTGTTTTTGATTTTCCTTAAACTTAAAACTATTGAAGCTAAAGTTCAAAAGTAGTTCAAAATTACCTGGAGCAAATAGTTATATATTCTCTTCAAGAATGATGTCTCCATTAGCTTTTCAATTTCATATTTTTATTATATTCTTCCATTAACTTTTTATTTTGATTGACAGATGTGGTTTAGGTAGTTTAGTTACTTTAATAATCATGTATGAGCTGATGCACCAAATCAGAATTTTTTAGAAATCCATGACTTGATTTATAATCATACCTAAAACTTATACCCTCTTAATTGTCTCTCTGTTGTTATGAGAAAAAGATGCAAAAATGCCATAACTTTGATAGGTTGGTTGGTCATCTGATTCTTTTCCTGCAGACCTATAGTAGTTTTAGTCTAGTGAAATGCTAACTGTCTGTATGCGCAGCCTTGTTTTATTTATATTTGTTTAACATCTCTACTTTCTAGAGCTGTTGGTTTGAAGTTCAATGACTGAAGTGCTCTGCTTTTCATAACCTAATGTGGCTGCATGATGCCTTGTGAATATTTTGAATATCTGGCTCTGAGTTGGCCCTTGTATGGAGAAGATTCCTCTTGCATGGTTAAAAGTGTTTAAATTCATGTCCGAGATTGCTTGATCATTTCCTCATAAAAGCATCGTATGATTACAGATATTAGATGAGTTGGACTTATACATAGTTATATTTATCCCTTTTTACAGGAACTTGTGTGTATAATCTAATTGTTCTCTTTACCTGCAGATACGTCAAAAACTTGATGAGACTTGCTGGTCTCTCTGTTAGAGAGGATGCTGTTGGTAACATATTTGGCCGATGGTGGGTTAATGTCATTGTTTTTTATATTTGGTCATCGCACTCGTTTTTAATTCTTAATTTGAAATCTAATGTAAGGTTCTTCCTGTAACCTCAAGCAACTTAGAAAAAAAAAAAGAACACATAGACAGACTAGGTAATAGCTAGACAAATGATTGGCTCTTTTCCTTTTATCTAAGCTTGATACATGTTAGTAGATCATGCATCAGCATTAAAAACTAGGAAAATCACTGCTTCTCAGTGATAAATTTATTAAAGAATATTCTTGGGATTTTGGCAGCATATCAAGTAAGCTTCTAGGTCATATATGATTTTTTGCATCTGCCACTCTACCAAAAGCTATATTCTGATGTTTGCTTCCTTTTCTATTTTTCTAATATTAGGTTTAATTTAACATCTTACAAGGCTCTATATTTGCTTCTTTTTCCTTTGAGCTATTTTCATTCTTCTTTTTGCCATTTGGAGTCGAGTTTCATTATTTTCTTTGTATTTTCCAGAAAGCTTTCAAAATGGTATATGTCATGCATTCATTTTGCAGGGATGGCTATAAACCTGAGCTTGCTGCAGTAGCCACTGGTTCTCATACTGATGCTATTCCATATTCTGGGAAGTACGATGGGGTTGTTGGTGTTTTAGGTGCAATAGAAGCTATCAATGTACTAAAAAGGTTTGCAGTTCCCATCCATTTTATGTTTGAAATGAAGTCACAGATGTATGGAGTAACGATCACCATACTGATTCTGCTCTTTTTTCTTCTTTTTTTTTTTGAGAGAGAGATATGATGCTGCTTAGGATAATGGTTGAAGTATACATGATAAAATTTTTTGTTTCATCTTTGCAAAATGCAATAACCATATATGTAAGTAATCCACATAAATACATCGAGTATGAAGATACCAAATATATCTTCCATCAATTTTCAGTACTGTACCCAGTTACAAAATTGAGCTGGACCATCCTGGGACGTCCTTCTAGTGACCCAGATTGAAGCAAGTTGGGCCCTAGGTGTGTTAGTGATGACAAGTACCATGATTCTGTAATCCCTGGTGGGACATCTGACATGTGAGCATCTTCACTTTCCTGCAGTGAAAGATATATGATGGTCCTCCCACGAGTTGGGTAGTGGTAATTCAGATATCATGATGTCTTATTTTTGTTTGTCACCTCGCCATTTTGAACTACAAAAGAAAGGATGCTTGTGCTCGAGATGATCTCAAGCTGAAGTTTTGAATGTTGTCATGTCTCTTTTCTGTTTTTATTTACCAAAATGTCCTGATCCTAAGAAATTTAAATGCTAATTCATAATACCTGCAGTTTCTGAAAACTAATGTTTATAACACAACTTTAGTGTTACACTAACTGGAAACTTCACAGATCTGGGTTCAAGCCTAAAAGGTCTCTGGAGATCATCTTTTTCACCTCAGAGGAGCCTACACGATTTGGAATCAGCTGTTTGGGCAGGTATGGCCCTTCAAATGGTAAATGCATGTGCTCATTTGTCATTTATGGCTTGATTTTTTTTGCACCTAATCTTTGCAACCCTAACATTTTATTTCTAATTCCGGATACCCTGTAACTGAGATGATGCATTGATCTGAACATTCAAACTTTCATTTGAAGTTCCTCATATATTCACTTTACTTGCAGCCGCTTATTGGCAGGGAGTGAGGCACTTGCAGAAGGTTTGAAAACTACAGTTGATGGCCAAAATATATCCTTTCTTGATGCTGCAAGAGCTGCTGGTTATGCAAAAGACAAAGATGAGTTATCCAGTGTGTTTATGAAGAAAGGAGATTACTTTGCCTTTTTAGAGTTGCATATTGAGCAAGGGCCCATTCTTGAGGAGGAAGGTTGGCTACTTTTCATCAGTAATGTTTTCCTTGTATAGAAACTTCTATCAGTTTCCATTTATTCTCAATATGCTTTAATCCAGGTGTATCAATTGGTGTTGTGACTGCCATTGCTGCCCCTGCAAGTATAAAGGTAGATTTTGAAGGGAATGGAGGCCACGCAGGTGCAGTCTTGATGCCAAACAGGTAAGAACTAACTACATCCAGTTTTTTAAAATCTAATATCAGATAACAACAAAGTGCTAGGAAATTAATCACAAAATCACGAAGCAAAAATAACAAAAATAGTGGATTTAATAGTATATAATGACTATCTCTATGGAGAATGAATTCACCATGGTATCATTTGTTCTGGTTGAATTTCCATACTGCTTACAGATAAATTTAATAATTTTTTCTGTAGCATGATAAATATATTATATATTATCAAAATACAAAAACATATTTTTAAGTAAAACGTAAAAACATACATATTATTTTAAAAATCATAATTTATAGGATACCATATAATATACTAATTTAGAATTAAAAATAACTTTTAAGTTCTAATAAAAATGAAGGTTGGGTTGCTCGCCTCCACTGGTTGTGCAGCCACTGGTCCAATAATTAGATTAGGACATGTGGCTGTGTGTGGGCATGTGGGTCTGCAGCCCCAACTGGACACTGGTTGTATAGTTTCTAACTTCCACATAAATATATATACATTATCAGTATGATAGTGTTGACCTATTGTAATTGACTGAATAAAGATGTTGTATGTCCTTTTTCTGTTCATCGTCCCTGTTAAATTATAACACTTTTTGGTCAATCGAATCTGATTCTGATTTCTAATTTACAATTTTGTAGTAGCTTTTTGAAGTTCTTATCAAATTAGGTATGTTAATGAAGCTATAACATGACAAGCAATATTTGTATTGTCGAATTATTTCTATCCCCTTCCTGGAAAGCTCTAAGCTAAGTAACTTTTGCATGTACTTTTTGGATCAGAAATGATGCAGGGCTGGCAGCTGCAGAGTTAGCTCTTGCTGTTGAGAAACATGTATTAGAATCTGGATCAGTGGATACTGTTGGGACTGTAGGTACTTGTTTTCCTTTATACATAGTGTTGGGTTGCAATATTTTATTTTGAAAAGGTTAACATTAAGTTACCTACTTCTGTATTTCATAGATCTCTAGAATATATCGTTACAAACTTTTGTCTTCCTAAGGTATTCTGGAGCTGCATCCTGGAGCAATCAACAGTATTCCGAGCAAATCACACCTAGAAATTGGTATGCTTCTTATAAGTTTCTGTGCCATCCTTTTTTGTCATAAGCACTCTATCTTAATTCTGTACGTGTTACTGGATTTATCTAAGTAAATTTTTCTTTGTTATTTATCTATTAATTTCTTTAAACTATTTTATCTTTTAACAGATACTCGAGACATTGATGAAGAGCGAAGGAACCTTGTAATTGAAAAAATTCATAAATCTGCTGTTACAATTGCCAAACACCGTCAAGTCAAGCTATCAGAATTCAAAATCGTCAATCAAGATCCACCCGCCCTTTCTGGGAAATTAGTAATCGAAACAATGGTAGCAGCATCGCGGGAGCTAAACCTTACACATAAGTTAATGATAAGCAGAGCTTATCATGATTCACTGTTTATGGCCAGGTACTTGCTTCTGGTTACATATATGGTTTAGAGAAAAGGTATGAGGGGAGAGAAGGTAGGGAATATCTGGAGAGGTTGGGGGCAGCTGACTGGTTATTTGAAGTATCATATGTTCATATGTCCATATGTCAGTTATCCCTTGGAAGAAGTGGATGGAGAGTGGAAATATTGGAACTAACAGTCCGTGTGGTTTAATTCCCATTCGATTGGTATCATATTCTTTTTCTTAATATTTAAAATATTCTTGATTAAATTTTCATTTTTGCATTTCAACCAATTGGACCCCATTTGATTCAGTTCAATTGCATTTCTTTACCTTTCAACTAAAAATCATACATTCATATTACATCATGCATAAAAATCTATATCTGAACTAGTAATTAAATGGTAAAAGAATAAGTATTGAACTGAATCAAATGACAAAGAAATGTTTCAGGATGGAATTTCAGAATTATATTTTATGAGGTTATGTCACCAATAAGTGGATATGCTTCAGAGGATGTATTGAATTCCAATGCTACTGGAAGCCAGACTCATGATTCCCAACATCGCTCAAATTCGATTCTGTCCAGCTCCAGGGCCCTACATATACCATACATCTACTTTCAAGTACTTCTGCTGATACGTACACCATATATCCTCCCTGCTGATACATTCATTGATTGTGCCCGTCAACCAGGGGCCTACTTAGGACGCCATTTGCTTTGAATCCTAAACTGGTTACATAATTTACATTACTAACTGTAGTATAGCAAAAATATTTGTATTGGTTATATCTGTTTCATTCTCCGTAACTAGATGCTAATGGTGCTGTTTAAACTTCCTTGCAGGATATGTCCAATGGGTATGATATTTATTCCGTGTTATAAAGGTATCAATACTTTTCTACTTCTAAAAAAGAAAAGAATATCATTCAGCTAATGTACTTCAATCTGAAGATGTAGAACCATGAAGCAGTTTTTTCTCTTTTAGTCCACCAATATTTCTTTCAATCTGAAGTATAATCTGGATATATGAGTCATTGAGAATACCAGTTATTGTTATGGTATATATTTTAAAGTTCATAACAAAAAACCATCAATTTCTGCTAGACCAGTAGCTCGGAGTTGGTGTTAGCTTTCTATTGTGTCCAAGAATGCTGAAAGGTGTTCTTTTGGGTAGCAAATTCATGATGAATCAGGAAATTGAAGCAACTCAAGCAATGTTGACTTTGGTCTTGTTTTTGCAGGATACAGCCATAAACCTGAAGAATATGCTTCCCCTCAGGACATGGCAAACGGTGTCAAAGTGTTAGCACTAACACTTGCCAAGCTGGCTAGTCTGTAATTTGTTGTATGATGTTTTCAAATAATGAACATGGAAAACTCCATTTCTTCCTAACTCTTATTTGGAAATTTCCAACTTCTTCATAACTTTTGGCCAGAAATGACGCTGAAGAGCAGAAGAGAAGCTAATGGCCACTCTTTTCAATTAGAATTCTTATATTATTTTTTCTTCATTTTAGCCCCAAAGAACATCAGAAAGGCCAAAAATGAACCATCAGAACCCCAGCTGAGCTAAATTCATCGAAAGCGCAGCAGGGTGATTCCTGCCTTTCAGGAAACATTCTTTTTTGAGGAACTCGGAATTGTGAAACAAAGATTCTCAATTTACAGTGGAAGTAAGCATAAATCTTCTACTTCATCAAGTTACAGCGCAAGCAACAGGCATGACAATAATAGAGAAGGAATGATGCATTCATTTTCTATACCAACAACAATGAATTCTGAAGGGAAAGCAGCAAAAAAGTGTGACCAAAGGATACTAGATCGAAAATAGTCCCAGTTGCCAAGATTCTATCTGGTTGCATTAAAAGTGGTTTACAAAATTTTCATCTTTGCTCATACTTGCAGAAAAGGAAATTTCTGTCATTGCTTGGTAACAGATCATTCATTGTCAGTGTCTACGTTCTTGAATGCAGCAGCAACAATACCATTGCCAACTTTCTCACTCTTCACCAGAAAAATCTCAATCTACTCACAAAAAGATGAGGAGACGTCAGCAAACATTACCACTACTTGCTAATAAAGTGAAACCAGCATGAATTGTAAATAAAATTACCTTTGCTTTCTCAATGACGCGCCCATTTTCTTCGTTCTTTGATTTCTCCATTGGTGTCAGGATCGTAGATGTCATAATTTCTGTTGCATTGACAAATATTTAATCAGACAATTCATCGTTCTATTTCAAGCAACTAACTAAAGTAGATATGGCTCTTACTTGTCTCTATGGCGAGTCCATCTCTTTTCAGAATCTCGGAAATTGTAACAACAGTTGGAATAGCTGGAGTATGTAACTTGAGATGTCAGAAGACAACAATGCATGAGAACTAAAACCCTTCTATCATTACTAGAGACCTGAACAAGAAGATGAAAGAAACAGAGGGAAAAAACAAGGAAGGATTACCCATGCCAAGTGCAGAGAGCTCAACATTATTGTACTGCTTGATGTACTTCTGCAACAAACAGAACATTACATTTATAAACAGAATTTTGAATAGAAAACCAAATCAAACTGAAAGTTAGCCTGATGCAGGAAAGAAAAATGCCCAGACAATATGTAGAATAATGCTAATAGAATTCGGGTAGTGGATTAAATTCATATCCTATTCTGATGTAATGTTTATAAATCAACACAATCATAAACGGAAGCGAACAAAGAATCCCCAAATGTAGATCAAGTCCCTATTGAATATTTTAGTTTTCACAAAATCTTGAATATCCGTTTCCTTTCCAAAACCCAGAAGCCAAAAGAGAGACTGAAAAGATAAAGAAAATATCCTAATTCAACACCAAGGAAAACCACTTTGCTGGGGAAAAAGGCAACTAAAACCCATATGTCTTTCCCTGCAATTTTCTCAGGAAAAACAAATTCGTCGTAGTTGAAAAAGAAAAGAAAAGAAGAAGAAGAAGAAGAAGAAAAAGAGATTGACATACCTTGGCAAGATTGAGATAGAAGACGAAGGGTTTCTTGCTGTTGGAAACTTGGATCCTGTTGTTCTTTTTCTTCTTCTTGGTCAATGTCATTTCAGGAGCAGCCTCCGTCATCGCCACTGCAACAACTGGATTTTCAGCGTTGATTTCCCAGCTGTTATCTTTGTTCATTTCAGGAGCAGCTTCCATCATCGCCACTGCAACAACTGGATTTTCAGCGTTGATTTCCCAGCTGTTATCTTTGTTCATTTCAGGAGCAACCTCCATCATCGCCACTGCAACAACTGGATTTTCAGCGTTGATTTCCCAGCTGTTATCTTTGTTCATTTCAGGAGCAGCCTCCATCATCGCCACTGCAACAGCCTCCATTCTCGAATCTAGTTTGTGTTAAAAGGGCGGGAAAATTTTACAGAATTGGGAATGAGACGGTGTTTAGTGGAATGCGATTGCAAGTGCTTTTATGTTTCTAGTTTATTGGATGAGAGTTTTGCTTCTTTCGATTTTTGGCGGCAATACAAAACGGTTCAGGAAGTTGGAAGGCAGTTAAATTAGTTTCCCCAAAATAACGGATTTGCCCCTGTAGACTTCTTGTAATTACAAATTTACCCCTGTTGAAATTTCGATTCCGGTCTCTTTGAGTTTAGGACTGCGGACTGTTTCCCGACTGATTTTTCTTTAAACAATTATACTCAGTTTAAGTAAAATATAAATTACAGATATACTTTAAAATTTTAGGAAATAATATTTGCCTCTATTTTTTGTTTTTTTCAAAAAAATTTATTTTTCAAAATCAGATTTTATGTTTGGGTTCTTGTGAATGTGCCATGGATTTTGTTAGTGGTGTAGGTTCTTGATAATGTTCATTGTAAATGTAATGTTCTTGTAAGCTTTGAATTTCTGGTGTGTTCTGCCTTCGTTTTATTAAGTTTCTGGGATTTCCTTAAGGATTATGTTAATTTTCATTTTGTTAAGTTTTGTGGATTTCATTTTAGAATTTTTTTCCCTTTTCTTTAGATTTATAGTAATAAGATGTGAAGATGTGATATCCAATTCCGTGTAAGAAATATACGTAATTATTAAACTGCATATAAGGATTAAAGTTACACAACGTTAATAAATTATGTTTATATTTTTTAGGGTACGTGGTTTGGGTTTAAAAATTATTAAACTAATAGTGCTTAAATCTTAATCATTTCAAATAATATTAAAGTACGTGCCAATTTGGTTACTTCAGTTGGTTGATCTTGGATCTCGTAATTACTTAGATTGTGATTTATAATTATATGATATATAAATTTGAGAAAATTAAGGATTTGAGTAATAAAAATTATTATATTTCAATCTCACATTTAAAAAAAATATAATTATTGAATTTCATATAAAAACTTAAGTTCCATGTTACTAATAATTTGAGTTTGAGATTTTAAAAATTAAAAGTTTGGGTTCAAAAAATTATTATATTAGTGGTAATTGGGTATAAAGCATTAAAGAAGATCCACATACTTAAGATTCACATAGGTGCTTTGAGTCTAATATAGTTATGCATGCATGCAATAAAACTTGGTGGATCAATGCTCGGTATGAATTGCATCAATGTAGCATATTGCCTTAACTATCACATAAAATAAATTTTTGCATTATTCATTGTTGGTTATATTTATATCTTGTATAGATCCCACTATGTGCTTTCTTATTTTTCCTTTCTAAATTTCAAAAATGCATTTGTTAATTATGGATTCAAGGAGGCTTCAACTTCAAGAAATAAGTTTTCAACGAAAAGGGATCAATGCTCGTGGGAGATATATGCTTCTCATTTGGCAGATGGTAATACCTTTATGGTAAAGAACTTTACAATATTTATACTTACACAAGGAAAAAAATGAGAACATGAAAATTTTTTGGTTGTGAAAGTCCTAAGGCTTAACTTGAGGTTGGATCTAAAGATGATCTACCACTTGATGAAGGAGATATTAAATTAGAATTACGATGTTGAGACTTTATAGTTTTAATGTTACAAAGCAAAAAAGAGGGTGAATGATCACAAGAATGGTCTTCTTTGTTTTTTATTTATTTTTAATATATTGAGGGACATAGTGGTGGGCAAATGACTCAACAATCTCATAATACTGCCACAAGCCAACGTTCAAACCAACCATTACATAAAGTAATATTTCGACGAAAGCAAAATTGGAGAACTTTACTTCTTGATTTACCTAATCTTTTAAAATTATAAATTGTTCTATGAAAGTTTGAAGTAGCTTTAAAATATTGAAGGTTTTAAAGTGATATCGGTTTGAAAATCTATATATATGGCTCAAAGGGACTTTTTAGCATCCACCATGATCACTCTCTGTAAATTCTAGTCATATATGTATTTGTAGAATGAAGTTTATTTGATTATCCATTGTTGTTGTGGCTTCATCTAACACCAATGTCATGTTTCTCTTCATTAACTCACGTTCCAAACAACTCAAAAAATTTTATAATCACAATCTAAACTCCTCACACTTGTTCTTTTACCTAACCACTTTCAAATATATATTTAAAGGCCCGAAACTTTAAAAAAAAAAAGAATATACATTATAATGGCAGAAGCAATTAATGATTTAGAGTTTATATTTCTTACACAGTAGATCCCGATGCTTATAGGGTTCCAGGAATGTCCATTTTAAAGAAATTAAAATAATAGAAACAAAAGTGAAACTAAAATCCTATGGGAGTTAACCTCCACTGACAACTTTGATGGGGTCCAGGAGGTAACCTTTACTTGTAAGCCTCTTGTTGTTCAATATTTGGATCTTGATTTTCTTGATTTGAAATGATTAAATAGGAGGATGAGCTATACTAACCCAGTAAGAATATTACATTAATCACTGATACGAAAAATTGAAGGTTAGTAAAAATTATAAAACAAATAATATAACCATTAATTTAGATAAATTCATTTAAACATAAAACCATTTATTCCATACTTACCGTTATGAATTCTCAAAATCGACTTATGAAGACAATAACTCAAATAACATTGTGATTTCATATCCAAGTGAGCAAGAATAACAATTTATATTTTTTACCTGCTTACCGGTACTTCTGGGGGTGCATAGGAATGTTCCTCTACACGTGAACCCAATATCCAAATTTGTCAATTAATCGACCGTCTCCATACCCCGTTCAATAATAGGCGCCAAACATACTATTGTCTTGATATCTCGTCCGGTATGAGAGTGAACTATATTTTCTTAATCCTTGTAGTATGTGACTTATCAAGTTCATCCGATTGAGATAATGTCCACGGTAGGCTTTTTCCCTATGTATCAACTCCATATAACCTTTCCCAAGGTACCTAGTAAGTTTTTCATATATAGATTCACATCATCAATCAATTACCAATTACATACTGATATCCCATCTTTACAACTCAACAATCAGTCATGTAAAAAGACGATATGTAAATCAAGAAAAGATGATTGAGATATTTATTGTAATACAAACCAACATATGAGGGCTACGTAGTTAGGTAACTAAATAACCGAAAAAGTAATTAAAATTAGTAATTTAAAGCAAACAATAAAATAATAAATATTTTAGGCAGTATATGAGAAAATAAACAGTAAATTAGGGCAAATATACATTGATCGGTTCCGACTCTACTAATAACCTATAATTAATTTTTAGATTTTTTTAATTTTTACAAAATACAATGTTATTGATTATTAAGCTTTAATTTACCATAATAAAAAAAAAGATAAGAAATTCTTACTCCAGATCGGTGTCCGAAATACCGTACTTTTCACTACACTCCTAGCGATCCCCAAGTTTCTTGAATTTTTCATGCGAAAATTAAAAATACTCATCACATATCCAAAATACCCCTAAAGGCCAAAATAGGCATTTTAAATCTTTTTCGTCCAATTTTAGGGTTTCGGCACAACAGCGCCGTCGTGCTCCGACACCAACTCCGCAGTTCACGATGGCAGTTCTCTTCGGTCTGGTCATTTTTGGCCGATTTAGGCCAGATTTGGCCGATTTTGCACGTACACTTGTAAAAAAAACAAGTTATGAGGCATCAGTTTGTCGAAAAATGCAAAAAACCAAAATTCTACCAGCATAAGGTCTCTGGGTGCTGTGGCTTCACCGTTCCTCCTTCATAGCTAGGGTTCTCCTTCAGCTAACCTGCATTAGAAAAGAACGGGAAACCCGATAGTCAGAAAACTAAGAGAGACAGAAAATGGGAAAGAGGTTATCAGAGTAATTTTTGGGTTGCGGTCGCGACGACTTTACATAGTTTTGTTCGTATTTTTCAGTTTATTCGCCGCCCTTTTTGCTTCAATATGGGTGTGGGGAGGCTCATAATTCAATTTCAAGTGAAAAATTAAAAATTTTACCTCCTTCAGCGTCGACGGTGGCTTCAGTGCGACAGTGATAGCATCCCTCCGGTTGCTGGTCTTCCCTTTGGTCGCCCTTCTTCTTATTCCCCGATCAGGGTTGTCGGCTAGAGTTTTTGGAGCCGATTGAAGAGAGGTTTAAATATCTATTTTCTCTCTGATCTTGGCTGTTCATCTGCATCAACGTGGAGCCAGGAGAGTCATCCAATCATTGCCTGTTTAGGTCGATTGCATGGGGAATGTAGATCGTCCATTGCGATTAATCTCATCCGTCCAATTGCATAGGGATAGAAACTGCATCTGGGTCGTTCGTGAGCGTGAGACACCATCTGGGCCATCGGATTGCCCGTGCGGCCTCCCGTATGGAGCCGATGTCAATCTCTCCGCCACGCGGCGCGTTCTGACTCGTTTTGGTTGCTAACAGAACTGTCCCACGTGGCTATACTTTTATTTTTTACGATTTTATCCTTTGTTTTCAAATTTCTTTTCAAAAACACCTCCTTATTCACAATTTCACCCATTTTTCTCAGAATTATTTTTAATTTCACTATTGATTCTATTTTTCTCAAAAATTTTAAAAAAATTAAAATAAAATAAGATATAATTATTTATACATATATTTTTTATTAATTCAAAAAAATTATTCCGGTCCAAATTTTTGGACCTAAGTATTACAATATATGTATTTCAAAATTATTGAGATGGATGCATGCTATGCTACTTTATAGGGATTATGTTGGAGATTTGTTAATTCTATCTTTTATCTTGTCTTTTGTACATGGAATTGTTATCAACAACAATGTTATGCAAGCTTATTGATGTTACGACAACTTATTATGTTATGCTACGAAATTTCTCCCAAGTAGAATAAATTTGGAAGTAATGAAGTAGAGGAAGGCAGAAGGTTGTTTGTGAATACACTATGTGATGTATTTAGAGAGTGCAACTTAAAGAGTTATCATTGATGCAAGAGTGATGGAACTTGATCTTAATCATCAATCCTTTAACAAAATATGATAGGATGATGCACACATTTTAAATCTATATATATATATATATATCAATCATAATATAATAAAAATACATTAAAAAAAAAACCTTATTTTTAACTCAATTTTATACACAAAAAAGTACAGTCTTAACTAAATTTATAACTTTTCATAAAAAATAAATAAATTAATCATACGACTGAATTATTTTATATTTTATTTATTTAAATAATATAAATTAAAATTTAAACAATAATTTTGAACAACCATGTAGCCTTACCGACAAAATTTTTTTTTTTTTTTTAAATATATATATATATATATATAATAACTCACCCACTATAATCAATCAATGTTTTATTAACAAATTAATATATAGGCCCAAATATTCTTCTATAAATTATTTTAACACTTAAATTCTTCTCTCACCAAACGAGGAAAGATTTTAGGATTTCATTGATAGAAACACTTTGCTTATTACAAGAAGAGATGATGAAGACAAGACGGTTGTCATGAATCAGAGCCGTTGGCAGGTACTATCTGTGTGCTACGTGGGACCCCCATGATCATCATCATCCATTCACTTCACTTCAAACACAAGGTTCAAAAGCCTAATGGACCCACAACAATTCCTTACACTCTACTCCCATATATATATATATATATATATATATATATCTCTCTCTCTCTCTCTCTCTCTCTCCTTAAAGGTCCACTAAGTACAAACTTTGACAACCCATTCAAAAATAATTAATTCTTTCTCTAGGAGAACCACCTCATAATTCGAAATATATAAAATTCATATATATATATGTATATTAATTAACTATATCTACATTAATATATTAATAAAACCCAACAAGTAAAACATTGATTTAGTAAAAAATATTTAATACATAATATTTTAATTATAGAATTAATAATTTAAATTCGAGTCATATTCTTCACTTTATTTAAAAAATATTAACTTGTGAATCACAATTCAATATATTTTTTTAAGTTATGTAACGATGATTCTTTTTTTTTTATTATAAATTTTTTAAACCTCAAGTTATCTTTTCATTAAATGGAGAAGAATTTACTTTTAATAATTAATATATGAAAATTCATGTGAGAATATTGACTAATAAAATAAAAGAAAAATTAGGTTGGTATTGATCATAAACTTGTCATCTCTCGTGCATGCATTCGATTATGTGGAATCAGATTCAAAGGTTTGCATTTGTATATACATCCATATAATATATAATATATATATATATATATATATATATTATATGGATGTATTGGGGTGGGAGCATGGCGACATATATATTTCTTGACAACCCAATTTAGAAATCAGCTTAAGTTGGCAATCCAACCAATGTGTTTATGTCCGCATATGTATAAATTTATCTTTAGTAGGAAACAGATTTTACATGAAGATGAACATATATATATATATATGTCTCTCTGTGTGTGTGTATGTATATATATATATATATATATATAGAGAGAGAGAGAGAGACACACACACACACATTCTTTAAAGTAAGAAAAGCCTCGAAAGTCCTAAATAAGTTGCTTACAATTATAATATTAGAGGGTATTAGAGCTTTATCAAAAGGGTTAAGCGGGAATAATCATTTGGATGAAATGTCTTCTCTTTAATATCTTTTGTCTTAATCCCTTACAATATTACAATACCTAATTTGTCTTGCCACTCAATACAAATAAAATAATATTATCATGTTTACTTGAATCAAAGTTATATATATATAAATATATATATTTAAATTTGTTTTGGTTTATTATCTCAATAAAGAAAATCACACTTAATAATTTAATTAAGCTTTGTAAAACCTCCTAAGTAATTTTTTTAATGTAATTAACTCTTTCTCTACCTACATATTAAATTGAAATGTTAATTAATTAGTGACAAGTATACCAAATTCTATAATAATATATAATTTTTTATTAATAGTTGGGACAATCATTATAATGCCCACTTCAATAAATTTACCTAAATTATAATATAAAATAAATATAATATGAATGGTTCCAAGAAAAAGTGGTGGTAGTGTATGTTCATAAATAAGTCATACTCATTTGTATGTACTTTGCAACAACTAAAAAAAAAAAAGGATAAGATTCTCAAATTCTTGGTGTGTCCAAAAAACAATGATAGAACAAATTATTTAGGATAAACCATTTGGATTTATTGCAATAAGAAAACAAAAAAATTTTAAGCCATCAAATTATTTCTTTTTACCCATTAATCATGAGAATGAAAATGTACACTTGTTATTTTTAACCTAAATTGGATTATAGTAAGTAGGATTTTAAAAATGAAAATTTAAAACATATAAGCTATTTTGAAAATTGTATATGAAAAATTATGTAACAAGAGAATGAAGATGGACTTGAAAATGAAAAACTAAATAAAGAATGAGATAGTTTGAGAAATTATTCAAATCCTTCTTAGTTGGAACTCTTTACCTATTCTTTTTTCTCTTGATGATACTTTCTTAAAAACTAGATCTTAATCTATATTTTCTACGAGTATATTAATTTTTTATCAATGACATCTGTAAAATTATTTAAAAAAATATTTTACTCCTTTACCTAGAAGATCACGTACTTGATATCCTTATATTATATAGATTCTTATTCAACCTCATCCATTGAAATATATAAATACCTACGGTAGATATTTATTATATTTTATATGTTTTCTAGTCATTTATTGTGCTCCATAATGTATTTGAATAAAATCTTTTACACCACACAAATATTTTGACTCTACCAGTCATATTACATATATTGTGCTCACCATATATGTTAAGTTAATTATTGTATTATTTGGTTATTATTAACCTAGTACAAGATAAATTATTGTACTTAATATTTGTATAGCATATTGTGAACATGACAAGATCAAAATTTCCAAAATTAGTTTAGATTAAGCTAAGTGTTTAAAAATCCATATTTTAACACATTTGTTTAGTCTTTAGCTTTAGTTTACTCTAATATATATATATATATATATATATTTGCAATTCTTGGACAAGAACTTAATATCTTCACTCTAATTGTATCTAGACTTTCTATAGTTTAATGATGATTAATTAACCTATTAAACAGGAATAATTCAATAACTTCTCTATAATCTTATAATTCATTATTTTATCTAAAAAAAACACTTAAGTGACTAGATCCAATATTTATATCACAAGTTATTTTTAATTGTTTGACTTATATATTATCATAGTTTATGATATGTTATTGATGGATGTATTTTTATTTTTATTTTTTTAAAAAATTCACGAAAAAACAAGATAAACTTTTTCATCTCTTTATGTAGAGATAAGTAACGTCAAAGTTGTTTTCGTAATAAAATAAAATAGAAACATGTTTTTATTATTATATCTAAGATAAGATAACACTTTTAAAAATTAACCAATTTTTTTATGCTAGGAGTAATATAATAATGAATTTATCTATAAATTTTATTAATTATCTCGTTTTTTTATTTTAATACTAAGGAATAATATATTAGTGTATGAGGTAGAAAACATCTATATTTAATATATGAATTAAAAAAAATATTTGCTTTGAAAGAAATTTAACAAGTTGTGTTAGATATTGTTATCAATTTAAATTGATAAGATTTTATTAATAATAGAAATTAACAAATTTAATTAAATTTATTGTATGTCAAGTCAAATTAATTCATTTTATTAGTAGAATATGTTGGATTTATTTGGTGATCTTTGGAAATGAGTAGGAAAAAAATTCCAAGAGAAAATATTGTTAATAGAAAGAGATAAAAAGAAAAAGAAAATAAAAGAAATAAAAAGGAAAAGACGTTCAATATTTTGACCAGATTGACGAGGGAAGCCACGGGGATATTTATCGTATTTTTATTTAAAAAATTTAAACGACGCCGTCACGTAACGCCGTTAACACCGACGAGGTTAGCGGGATGTATAAAAACAAGTAACAGAAGCACGTACAAACACAGAAGCGCATAGACTCACAGCTCGATAAATCGACCGAGTGCCAAACGCATTCACAGTGGGAGAGCTTCAAAATTTTCATAGATCGGACTAAACCTGTGAGTAATTCACCACAGTTGCCACTTTCCTCCCTTCTTATTCTTCTCTCTTCGTCGATCTACCTACTCATCATCTTCTATGCATGTAATGTAGCTTCAAAATCTTCTCTCGTTTCGGTAATGGACGCATAAGATGTCGATTCTGTTTGATCTGTCTATTTGCCTTGTTAGGTCCATTATTATTTTAGTCGTTTCTCTTCAATAATTTACTTTTCTTTGGTTGCCGAGAGAGTACAGGAAAAATGGCCCTGTTTGGGCTCCGAGAAACTGCAGGATGGATGATGAATTAAAACCTGGATCAATTCATCGAAGCTGTGGTGTATTTTCTGATTAATTTTTTATTTGTTTTAAATGTGAAAAGATAAAAAAAAGTAAAGGCATCAAATATTTTTTAGTTTCAAAACTGTACCTGTTCGCTTGTAAGGTAGTTGTTCTACTTTTTTTTTTTTCTTTTTTGAAGAAAATTAGATGTCGACTAATGTACAGATTTTATTTTTTTGCCCCTAGTTTCCTTGGAAATCGAACGAAGTGGCAACTGACTCAGTATCTCTTGCATTATGAGCCTTTTGTTGACTGTCCGTTCATTTTCTTGGAGTCAAGTAAAGTTCAGTGAGTTCTTTCAAGCTCCAAATATGCAAATAGAAATTACGTTCATGTGTATTATCTTCTAGATTATAATATAATATAACGAGTAAGATTTTTCTTTAATACAAAATTCCAAAAAAAAAAAAATTAGAAATCATAATGTCTAGTCCGTGAATAAACTGTAGAATTAGTGAATTTCAGGTTTTGTCTTGTTTTTCTTTCTCAATTTTTTGATAAGAAACTTTAATTTTCTTTTGCAATGTATAAACTATTAAAGTTCTCTGAAGGTAAATTTGTCTTGGTTTATGTACTCCTTGTATGGTTCCCCGTTGCTTGAACTGGTGCTTTGTTAAAATTATTATTTAATTATTTTGTTGGATTCTTGTCATTGTTACTAGATTAAGCATGCTCATTTTCCTATCATCTTCAATTGTTCTGTAGCAAACTTTCGCCTGCTGACTGGTGTTGGATTGGTTTTAAAAGAATATTATATCCTTCCAAATTTTAAATCCTTCCCGTCAGGCACAACTATCTTTTATCTATGTGTATATGAATATATGCTGTTTGCTTTTGCTTAACAAACAGGTTATTAAGCTACCGTTTGCCTGGTAAATGGCTGCACATCCAGTGTACTTGTTAATTCTTTATAATTGGGTGGCCACCCATGAATATGATCAAATGCTTATGAAGGGGCAAACATGCCCTTTTTCCTCCTTCTGTATCTAATTTCTACCCCACCGTGCACTGTATTGGCATTTGGTATCTTGGGTTGATTGCATTATTCACTTCAATTAACTAATCACATAAAGAGTGCGTGCCTTAGTCCTTGTAATCATTGTTCTCCAAAATCAACTTGTTTTTTTCTGATAATAATAGTAGGTGATTCGAGCTGTTGATTCCTTAATGAAATGCTAATGATTTATAATTGTCACTCATTGCTTTCTTTTGGAAATCTGTCTTCGTAATACGATCTGGGAGCAAGTGATACAAGTTCAAATTTTTTGTTTCCATTTGAAGTAGTTTGTTACAAAGAAAATTTTCTCAATGTTAGAAGTTTAGAAATGCTTACATGGAAAAAAGGAAAATACAAAATGCAATTTGCAATTGTGCTCCAGGTGTTTATTGCTGAGAGGGTGTTCGTGGCATTCAAAAAATGTTCTTAAAAGGATGAGGTTTTCTGATACCTGTTCTCTTTTTGCAGGTCAATGGGGATAGAAGTGACAGATATCTGTATGGACAAAGAGCCAGATCTTGTTGTACTTTATTCAAATGGTGCTTCTCATGATTCAGATCATGAATCATTTCCCAATCATAGTGACCCCGAGTCATATGAGCATGTCCATGAGGAATCTGTTCTCCAAGTCATGGGAGAGAACATGGAAGGAAAAGAATATGAAGTGAAGGAATGTACTACCGAAAACTCAGTTGAGATATCTGAACTCAATCACATTGAAAAAAGCAAGGAGGAGCAGACTAATGCAAGCGCAGCAAAGTCTGAGGCTGAACTACCTAGAGAGAAGGTCATGCCAGAAAATGGTAAACCAGAGGGTCATTCCAAGTTACATTCATATGCAAAGCCTGCATCAAAATTCATTTCTGGAAATGTCCGAACAAAGCACACTGTTCCACAGCCATTTGTGCTAGCAACTGAAAAGCGAGCTTCATCCGGGTATCGTCCTGCTGTTCCTGAACCTGATGCTGCAATAGGTGCAAGTAAATCACATAATGTAAATGGTCTTCATCATCCAACTACTAAAAAACTCAATCAAGTAAGGAGCTTATTACAAATTTTTAATACATATTAATTTGACCCCTTGGATCTTGTTTCACACATTTTATATTTCCACGACTTACTTATATGACTTCTCTTCTCTATTAACTTCATTTGTACAAGGCTGGTAAATAGGTTCTTGTTTAACTTTCCACTAGAATCAGTGTCAAATTCTTATTTTCTTTAGGATTTCTAATTTCTGGAGGTTAGCTATTTATTGCTGAACATGCTAGAGGTTCTCTCTAAATAGAATTCAAATGATAGAGACTTGATGTTTTTGGCCTAAGGATTGGAATACTTTTATGTAGAAACTGTAGGTAAATGAGAGAGGAGTTGGGAGATATATTAGG